AATATGTAAATGAATGGGCGTGGCTGTATTCCAATACAACTTTCTTTATGGATAATGAAATTTGAATTCCATACAATTTTCATATGTCTTGAAATATTATTCTTTTGATGTTTTCTCTCAGTCATTTAAACCATTGTTAACTCACAGGCAGTACAAGAACAGAGAAGGAGGGCTGCTTTAGACTGAGAGCCTCAGATTAACAACCCCTGGACTAGATGATTCCTATAGGAACTCCCAGTTCTCTTGCTGATGAACCAGAGTAACCTCATGAGATGCTCATTTTCTGAAACCCCTAGAGAGCCTCACCTGACAAATCTAGGAGATTTTCCCTCATAGAATATAGTCTAGATCTTCAGACTATTTGTCACTGCCACAGCCCTAACACTGGAATTTTTCATGATTTCCAGTGGGGTGGTCATGGAATCAGACTTTTAAGTTAAAAACTTGAGAAAATTAAATGAAGCTTCTCCTGAGAAAAAAAGCCTGAACACCTTTACCTCAGGGAAACAGAATGAATGCTTTGAAAAATATCACCACCTCTTCCTCATCACCTGCCTTACTACCAACAGATGATTCAATGCTGCAGAGAATACAAAGCACTAGGTACGAAAATATATAATTCCGTGAGTAATTCTAAACCAGTTATGTTTCATTCCTCCCAGCCTACTTTATGAAGAGGTGCTCTTAAAGGATTCAGTAGGGCTAAGTTATTATTCTAGACACTGCCTGCTGAGAAGGCACAAGCCTTGAGGTATCCCACAGACTAAAATGCTCAGCCCAGCTCAGGTGTATTACTCATTTGGAGCCATAGAAAACTTACTCTGATTTTCATCAGCTCTGGATACTTATGAAAACAATGATAACGTAAACTAGTCCCCTGAATACTCCAAAATAATTGAGACAGAAACTATGGTTCCTAATTTTTATTCAGAGTCTCAAACCTGAATGAAAGAGCCTCTTCCACCCCCTGCACAATGAAAATAGCAGGGCTGACTCTGTCCCCAACAGCATTCCAAGTCCATTCTCCCACTGTAGACTATAGAGAACAAAGCTTAAGCTACAAGATAGAGGCTACAAGAAAACACAGGGCAATTCATAACCTGCAGAACATTCTAACAATTAAAGCTACTGAACAATAGAAAGGTACTATTGTTGCTATTTATCAGATAATGGCTTATGGATATATCTTGTGGATGTAGCTATCTCCACTGGGTGACAAGGCAAAATAGATAACACAGGCACTTCCAACTGTAAGACACAGGGTCCACCTGAGTATCAGTCACTTATATTGCAGTGATTTCCGTAGATACTTGAAAACTGGAATCCAGCCAGTATCAAGTGGTACAACTGATGACCTATGTGCCCAAAAGGGCACCATTTTGTAATTCACAAAAAGACACTGTGCAGACTTGAAACCTACACATTCATGGTTCTGAAGGTTGCTTCTGAGTAAGAGTTCTGGAACAACTAACTGCTTCCAAAGATCAACCTTATATACAAAAGTTAGAACCAGGCATATATTGAAACAGGCTCCTAAGAGTGTCTGGCCCAAAGACAAGGTGCTGAAGGTAAGCACAACTTCCAATGAGAGCCATCTTGGCCTATTTCTCTGGATCTTCAGGTAGTTCCACATTTATAAGTAGTAGGACATCCAGTGAAAAGAGCTCTTTGAGGGCATTTTTTGGAATTGTCTGGGTGTTTCCTCTTGCAACAGGTTTTCAAATATCCAGGGTATCTTAAGTACTCTGAGAGGATCTTAGGAAACCTAAATTAGATGTGATGGGTTTAGACCATTCTAGAAGATTAAATTCAAGCCCTAAAACTCTGCAAACTTCTTAAGTGTCTTAGAACTTTTCTTCATATGGTCAAGGGCTTCCAATGATGTTTGCTAGTTGATATCTCTGCTAATTTAGAGGTCACCACCAGAGCTTTTTAAAAATTATTGTTCCAACCTCTATAGCACCATTTTTCAGGTAATAATAATAACAATGACAATAACAACCAAGGTGAAAACAATAGCTACCTGTATTTTCTCCTAGGCAATTTATATAAACTTTCTTTTTATAATCCTTTCAAAATTCTCCAAAGTAGCTACTATTGTCCATTTTAACATGTGAGAAAATTGATATTCAAAGTGTTTTATTGTCTAGTTCAAGAGAGCATACCCATGAGAAAGTCTTATATTCAAACTCAGGTCTGTCTGGCTCTCAAGCCCTTACTCTTAAACCCATGTTGCCTCAACTAAAGACTTCATTTCTATAGAACCTCCTGTACTAATCTTTCAAGTCCTCTATTTTTCCTCTTCAAAATCACCTAAGCATTCCACTCTGTTAAGTGTCAAGGTTTATGGTTAAAGGTCACATGGGGCCTGTCACCTCATAGTGTCCTAGGGTATTCCAGTGAAAAGAGCCCTCTGAGGACACCAGGTTCAGCTTGAGGCCCAGAGATTTAGGCACAGACAAGACCGTGGGCACAACTCTCCCTTCTCCAATATCTCTATAGTCTTCTTTTTGTTCATTTTATCTCATCTGCCTCAAATTTTGTTATTTGAGCTTTTATGGGATCATCTCTTTAGGGCAAGGATTTGGTTTTGTTGACACCATTTTCTAGACTATTTTGCTTCTTAATACTATAGAAAGTATTAGTCATAGTAAAAATAAAGAGTTTTCACACAAAGATAGATTTAGTGAACTACTAGATCCTGAACAAACATCTGAACTCACTCAGGACATCTACTTTGTTTTGTTTTCATCTAATTGAAAAGTGGAAGAACAATTACTGTTGCTGTTTTTTTCACATGGTAAGATATCTAGTGTGTGATGAATTTGTCTATGGACCTACAAACTCATGAAAAGAGATTACCATTTTTCTACTGAGACTACCTTAACAGCATTGGGTTTGAATTGTAGTGCTACAATAATTAAATTCAAAATCTTTCATAATCTTAGACTTTCCCAAAAGTAATGTTCACCATTAGCTATGGATGGCAATGCAAACAAGTACATGTATATTAAATAATAAAGCTTAATAGGTCAAGGAAGGAATGGAATATAATGAATGTCTAACACCTGTAGAGATAACTATTGGTAGTTTGCCTTCCTAGTTACTTCCTTGACTTGAGTTTACTGGGACTTGAATACATGCATCAAACTGTCATTTATTAACAACCAAATCTATACCAAGCTTGTTGCACCAGGATATTTAATGTCAATTGCTATGTAGATTGGCTGCCCATTTTCAGAAATATACATTTAAGGACCTTTAATTTCCATGTTAAAATCATATAGGGTTGATTGGAGAGTAAAATAACAGCTGAGTTCAGCTCTTTGCACTCTGGTTCTGGATGTGTTAGTTCTAAGTGAAGGAGAGTAGCCTTAACACCATGAACCTATTTCTGGATCCAGCTTTGAGACTCCATGAGACAGTTCCCTAGTTATCATGGCTTCACATTGCTCAGCAAATTAAAATGAGAAGAATAAAGTCTCATGAAGGCTTGGCTTGTGATTACTTGTTAGGAATATTAATGATGTCCAAACTACAATTATAACCTGCATTAATTTTGTTTTTTCATAAAACATTTCACATGCAAGAGTTTAATTATTATCCTATTTAACAGATGAGAGGCACAGATAAGGCCGAGAGATAGTAAATGACTTACCTAATGTATCAGAATTTATGATTAGTCAGCAGCTGAATCCAAATATATCAATATGTTTTCTTTTGTTTTGTGGATTTTTTTGTCATTGCTGTTAATTTTATTTATTTAATATACCATCCTTTGTAATTTATACCCTCTAGGAAAACATTTTATACTCTCAAGTTACAGCTGGAGATGGTATGGGTTCCATGTTTACCTCCATGATTTCCTAGCTGTGTGATCATGAACAAGTTCTTTAGCCTCCCTAAGCCTTGGTATTTACATCTAGAAAATGTGGCTAATAATAGCAATTCCTTCATAGGGTACAATGGCATGCTGCTGGTCAAATAGCACCTTCCCTGACACAGAAATGAATTCTCTAAATGATAGGAATCATTTATCATTTATTTTGCTAAATACCTAGGTATAAATTAACACATAGCCATTGCCTACCTGTATTCACACACGCACACACACACACAGAAAATAAAGCCCTTTATGACCAGCAAGAAAAAGCCCCACTTGAAGCTTGGGAACAAGGTCTAAAGTTGCATTTATGAAATAAATATATTAGTACCAATTGCCCTTTGAAGGTTGATTAACTGCAATTTTAAGATCATAAGCACTCTTCCTTCTGTAACTCAAATTTGGAGACAGAGTGGGTTGCACTCACTGGAATTAATATTCCTGTAGAAACAAAAGGCTCTGTGTGCTTGATAAACAATTTTGAAGGTGCTAGTTCATCCCCAAAATTCAGTCCATTCATATTTTTTAGTTACCTTGCCTTAGAAAAGGAAGACTTCTTATCCATATCATGAGCTTACATCTGTTGGATCAAATCTTACAGGGAGAGATCAGTCATATATCAAAAAGTTAATGATTGGCCATTTCTCACTGGGCCTTTTTCCTCTGTCATCTAGAGAGGCCCAACAGGCTTTGACAAAAGCCTCTATAGCTAGGGGCTATTATCATATCCTTATTTTTTCATGGGAAACTCAGAACACCTTTTTCTGTAGAGATCCAATGCCACATCCCATCTCCACAGTGATTAATCAGTACAGTCATTACACTTTCAATAGTAAAAATATATAGACTCCAGTCATCTCTGGAGATGCTGAAATAGTCCTCCTCGTCCCTGTTGATTTAAGGGAAGGTAGAGAGGAAAGATGTGTGCAGAGTATGACATAAATATAAGAGCTCGAATATGTAATTAGCTGAAAGAATCTTGGTTCCCACTGCATCTTTGACAGAATTGCAGCTGTCATATTGTAGCTCCAATGTTTTATCCTTATTGTAAGGTGAATTTGAAGGTGATTTATAAAAGATACTTTCTAACATGAACACCACTCTGTTTTTTTCGTAGGATGCTTGAAGACGACCTGAAGCTGAGCAGTGATGAAGATGACCTTGAGCCTGTGAAGACCTTGACCACTCAGTGCACTGCCACTGAGCTCTACCAGGTAGGAACAGCTCAGGGCTTGGTTGGGACCAAAGGGATGGGAACAAATGGGACTAGAATGGTTTTGCCATCCATAAGCCTACCCCCTGCTTCATCTCTAGTGTTTGAAGGGAAAGAAACAAAGATAGGCATAATATCTGGAACAGGTTGCATCAGCTTACAGTTTCATTAAAATTGGAGTAATGAAATACTGAACTCTTGAAAACTGATTTCACCTTTTCCCTCTGCTTCCTCCTTGACAGACACAATATTGGTTGTCAGTAAGCAATTGAGATTGTCTTTCTCTCTGTTGGGATAAGTATTGTCTTGAGTGAGCTGTAGTTTTCCTTTAGTAACTCCAGTTACTATGTAGATAACATAGTTAATATCTCTCATTTTATAATTGGGACCTTCATACCTTTGCAACATCAGGAGGTGTGCTGAGAGCTCCCCTTTTATGGAGCTGCCCCTTCTCTGTGCCAGGCATCAAGTGAAGGGGCTCTGTCTCATTTGAACCATGCAGAAAACCTTAAAGGTAAGTTTGGCCCTCTTGTCTGAGCTACAATATTATAGAATCATTCTATTTGTGGCAGGATGATTGGGAGAAAAGCATACAAAGAAATGCATTGGTGCATTAAATGATGTGTTCAATTAGCCAAGTCACACCTTTGATTTGAGCTGACGTTATACTTATAAGCTTTCTCAGAACCTGGTAGCTACATTCATACAGACATACTTGAATATAAAAGCTACTAGCTTTCTGGAGATATCCTCAGATTATCTCATTCATAATCATTACATCTGGACTCACCTAAGGAGACCAAAATTGTTCAGGTTTAGTTAGTACACACCAACCTTTTCCAAAAAGCTTCTAAGACCCTATGCTATGGCTTGCAACATAACGAATCCAAAGAGAATGCATTTCAAATGCGTGTATGAAAATGAAACACAGTATCAAGATGTGTTAGTTCCTCATTTGACATTTAGTTCCAAGTTTTTCATAATCAGAACATCTTTCCTCTCCCTGCCCCCCACTGGCACCCTCCACAGCAGTATTAGCCATGCTGAGCACAAACAAACACCAATAAAACAATTAGGATGCGTTTAAATGCTAAGTATTATTTCTTCAAATGGGAAGTGGAGCATGCAGCCAGAATGGGACAATTATAATATACCCAAAAAAAGATACCAAATAGTCAGCTATGGAGACTCAAGGTTATAAGAAAACACTTTTAACAAAACATTTTACCTTCTGGTGACTCTTAAAATCAGAGATACACAACCACATATATGTGGAGAGAATGCAGATATGTCCACACTGGCACAGTATACAATAGAAAGCAAGAGAATAAGTGTATAATTGAATGAGTTAGAATTCTGGGCTTTAATACCAGCTCTATCACATGCTAGCTGCATGACATTGTGCAAGTCACCCAATACCTCTAAGTCTTGGATCTCTCAGCGATTAACTAAGATAAACCAGTTTTGTCCAACTCATAGGAGTACCGTGAGGGTCAAATAAAGATTGTGTATAAGAAAATGCTTTGAAAACCATAAGCACTACACAAATGATGGCTATTCCTCCTTCTGGCCCTTTAAAATATTAACTAGACCCCCTCTCTTTTGGATCCATTGGCAAATACATATTGCCCTTCATTTTGGCTTTGATGTCCATAGAGATCTGCTAGGAACTGGATTGAATATCCTAATTGCCCCACAAAGACATCCACTGGATATGGACAATATTTCATCCCCTGTGAGCCCTAACAAGTTTTAAACTAGACATCCCATGAAGAAAGGCCAATTGTTAATAACATTGCACCAAGCTCTCCAGGAATACTACTTTATTTATTTATTTATTTATTTATTTATTTATTTATTTATTTATTTATTTATTTATTTATCATAGGTTTTAAAAAGAGTTTTTCTTCAAAAGGCTGATGTGAGTGGAGAGTTGAGTCATACCTTTTTATTATAGTTCTTATTTTCTCTTTTTGAGCTCTCACTCTGCCCTGGAAGAAAGCTATACTCACCTTGGTTTTC